GACGACATGACATTAATTGGTAGCACAAGAACACAGGAAGAAGATGACGATGATGACCATCGCCACCACCACCACCAGAACCACCACCATCAGAACAAGAACCAAAAAACGACAAGAATGACAACAACGAGAGTGTGAGCCCATTTATCACCCATGACAGACCGAGTTCATTCCGCAGGCCTGCCAGTCCACCAACGCAAAAAGCCATCAAATTCGCATTACAACATGCTTGGGCAAGTAAGACATCCTTTTCCTCGCCCAAACCCGGCATTGGTCAGCTCAGAGTCCGCCTCTTGCAGCTGCCTCTGGTTGAATGACGCACGGCTCATTGTCCAATCCAGCATCAGGGTCATCCTCCTGCGCGGGAGCCGCCTGCCCCACCTGAAGAACTCGGACCATTCGTGGAGGGCCAGCTCTGTGTGGATTCCTAACGAAAGCCTCTTCAGCTTCGTGTTGGTCGTACCCGTGGCGCAAAAAGCTGTACTCCGGTGGCCGCGGTTCACGCCTCAGCGTTTGCTTGATCCATCCACTGAGGAAATCAAGTGCGTTCTTGTTGATGGCAGCTCTCTGATATGCCAAGTCTGCTTGCCGCTCGATTTCTTCTCGGTCTTTCCGCGAGATGCTACGTCGAGGGTGCAGCCCACACGGCTGCCGACGCAGGGTCCTTCGCAACGCAGATACCTCTGCCGCTGAGAAAAGCCAGCGTATCTGAAAAGGCAAAGGGTCGGACATGTACTGGTGAACCACTAGCATGAGATCGTCCGGATGCGGTGAGCTGTCATCTCCTGTAGCCACGACCGACTTTGCAGCTTCCCAGTCTGCTGGCTTCACATGCTTTCGATTCATCGCACGGAACCCATGAGGTGCTTTTGGACCTAAACGCAGGCCAGGGCTAGTAAGTCGAGAATTGGTAGCCCATCACACGACAAGTAAAAAAAGAACAACATTAACTGTTTGGCCCAGCCCTCGGTGCCTGTGATCAATGCCAGTTTCAATGGGACCTCTTCCATCCAGCTCAACCAGTCCGCAGCCTCGTCTAGCTTCTCAGCTCCACGAAACAAAGTGCCTGATTCAAATTCAGCTTTTTTCATGAAGTCGTCGTAAATACTTGTCAACTCTGCCGCGGTGTCGAACGTGGCATTCGAAGTTCGAACAACAGCGTGCCCTCCAAGGCCATCCAGCGGGCCGTGGGTGTGACCTTTAATGGGAAACGCTACATAGGCAGTTTCAAGCACCTTCAGCATCTGCAACTTCAACCAAAACTTCAGCATCAGTTGGTTCTTGTTGTTGGAGGACGTGTTATCTAAGATCAACACCATGTGCCTCGGCAAGCTTTGCAGCTTGTCATAGATTCTTGACAGCCCCCGTGCCAAAGTCTCCACATGCACCACGGTGTCCTTTCGCATGTCGGGGTCGGCAACATGGAAGCACACGTCATAGCCATGCATCCAACACATTTGTATATGCAGGGCTGGTCTAATGACATTTTCGAGAGCTTTAGTCTTTTGCAGAACACGCGGTACACGATGCTTGGCCTGATCCAGGCCATCTGATCGTATCAGCAAGAGGGACTGCGACAAGGTTGAAAGACTTTCGCCTGCCAAAGAGGCTGCTCTGCCTTGTACGGATTGGGCGTGGAAGGCAGCGTCACATTGCCGGTCACGGTGATTTTGGAGGAGGTGTGCTGCGTACTCCTCCACGTAGCGTGCCCGATCCATCAAGTTCCGGCAACCTCGCAGCTGACGCTTGTACCAACTGCAGCTGTCACACAAACCATGTTGGCCTGCCTGTTTCCTGAAAGCAAGCCACGGGCTTGAAGCCTTCAAGGCACGGCGAAAGGTGGACCAGGAGGGTGGCGGCGACAAGTTACCGCGCTTGCACCACTGCAGAAGGAGCTCATAAAGAACATNNCCCCCAAGTAACGTCTTGGCCCTGGCGCCATGCCGGGCCCGACAGATGCATTGCGAAAAGGGTCGTTCATTGTGACTGCTCTGATTGCCAATGCTGAAAGAGCTCTTGAATCCTCTTCTTCCATATCCGCTAGCTCTCGCGGCGCTTCATTGGAAGTCACATCCTCGGGATCATCCTCTGATGCTTCATCATGGTCAAGCTTTGTCTGCGTGTGGATTCCGCCAACGAACAAGCAGCTTCTGTCGAGGGAGCTGTCGAAGTGGAAACGATCCGGGAGATATTCTCCGTCATAGTGGTAGCCTGAAGAAGCTTGAAGGCAAAGTCAGGTTGTGGTCAAAAGCAGCGTGATGTTGAAGCCCTGCCTGGCCCCTAAACACAATGCTAAATACAAGTTCAGCAGCGTTCTTGCAAGAAGCGGTTGCAGATGTCATGCTGCCACTTGCCAGCCAGTCGCGGTGTCCTGTGAGCTTTCATGCGCCGGTCGTGCATGCCATGGAGTACCTCAGCTGTTTGGGAAATGGCCTAGTAGCTACTAGCAACTGGTGAGCAGTGCCACTGCACACTGGCAAGGGCAGGAGGGAAGAAAGTACCCAGTCAGGGTTTTAATCCGTTTCACATCAACCTCAAGAACTGTTTTTTAACAAAACATGTCCAGCGGCTCGTTGCACACGGCTGTCGCCAATCCCAAGCAGAAAGAGGGCACCGTGCTTGCACACATGTACGTCGGCGCCAAGCATTGGCAGCTGCACGGAGGGTTTCTTGGTGCACAGTCTCTTTCCATATGGTCTTCGCGTTTTTCTGGCCATGTTAGACTGTTCCGTGTCCGTGCTCTGCCCCTCCTGGTTCTGAGTCTGGCCAGGCCGTGCTTTGCTCTGCTCATTAGAATCTTCGGTGTCCGTGGTTCTGCTTGCGTCGAGAACAGCCGCAGACTTAGACTTGCTGACTGCATTGTTTGGTTCCTGCTGGCAAGTCCGTCCAAAAATCCACAAGAGCTCGCGGTCAGCTGCCTCTGAAGGCAACTGTGTAAACTGCTCCCTCCAGATCCTCAGTGAGTCCAGGTGCCCCTTGGCAATGTTGAAGCATTCGAATGCACAGTAAGAGCAGGCCCTCCCAAGCTTTTGCACTGTCTCTAGCTTCTTCAGAAATTCCACAGCAAAGTCAGACCAGGAACCCTTGCTCGATCTTGCTTTCTGTACAGAGGTTCGGGCCTTGGCCTTGGGTTTCGCAGCCTTGGCGGGTCTGCCAAGTGGCGAATCGCTTTTCTCTGTGTCAGTCCCTGCATCACTTTTCTCGGTCTCCGTGGAGCTGGCCTCTAACTTTGACATAGCAGCATTGATACATGGCAGAGCGCGTTCCTCCAGCCTAGCCGGGCAACACGAAGCCTATGAAGATATTATGCTGCTTTGCTCAGGGCCGTATGCTTCAGTAAACAGTTCTGCTTGTACCAGGGAGACTGCCCTGCGCAAATCATGTCACACACCCACATAATTCACGAGCCCTACATCCTGCGGCTGTTGAAAGCCAAGCATGCTGGGACATCGTGGCCCGCACATGTTTTCAGACCAGAATAATTGTGAATAAGAGACTGTGCAGCGCTGGCCAAACGAGAGCCGGGCCTGCTCCATCTGGAAGACAGCAGACCTTAGGTGCATAAGCTGGGATTGCTTGGATAGACGTTACAATCTGCAATGAGTCCACAGTTACCGTGTGCAGGCTCCAACACACCGGCTGCGGTACTTGTTTTTTTCTCCAGCATCCCATGCCACAGCATGTCAAGGCCAATGCAAGAGCACCGCCACCAGCAAACTGAGAATGATCGGTGAAGAAAACGCGTTCCCTGCCACGTCTTGGGCTTGCTCAGTAGTAAGCCCATCCAACTTGAATCGCCGCACTTCTCGCCTTCCCAACCCCTGAAGGGCGAACGCGAGGGCGCTTGGACACCCGCAGGTCCAATGACTGCCCGCACGATAGAGAAACTTCTTCTGCGGGAGCAGGCAGGGGTGCAAGCCAGTCTTGAACTTCAGATAGCCAACGGAGCCTGGATTGAAGGCAGCGGCAGCTATGGAAAGCGGAAAGGCCACTCACATGTCATGTGATGCTGAAAGAAAGAAACAGTGCGGATTCATGGTCTACTGAGCCTAAGGGACTTCCCACATCGCCCACCAAGCACTGCTGGTTAAGCTCGTCCGCCTGCAGTGCCACGGCCAGTGTCAACTTTGCGGCCTCGAGCTCTCTCGCTGACCTCTGCAGCAACAACCCGTCGCGCATGAACTTAGCACGCACGCGAACAGTTACCAACAAGTACGAAGACCCAAGAACCGCAAAGCACTTAGACTTGCAGGACAAGGGGCAGACGCAGTGCGGAAGCCTTGTTGTCTAAATCTGCCACCAGAGCTCGAGCAAGGTCCGCGTCCGTGATCTTGTGCATCTCCCTGAAATTGGCATGCAACTGCCGCCACTTTGGCTCACGCGCACTGCTAGAGGCTTGAGTCTTGCGCTTCTTCTTTGTGCTCAAGCCGTCCAGGGCCTCGTCAGCCAATCCAGACTTCTGCAGCAAGGCCATCAAAGATTCGGGCACTGAGGTTTGGCATCGTTTCACAACGGACCACATGGACTCCAGCTGCATGCGCTGTTGCCGTTTGCCCTCGTCTCCAAAACTTTCAAGTCGCACGAAGATACCGTAGGCTCGCATTCTTGACTGAGGAATGCCAAAGTGGCGAGTGTTGAGCTTGCTCCAAGAGCCCTCATAGCCTAGGGTCTCCAGTCTGCCGCTGACAATGCTAGTCCCTCTTTAATTCATTGACCGCTGAACGCTTATGGTGAAGGTTGCTTACGCACTCCATCAAAAGGTACCGTGGCCTTGAGCTAAAGCGGAGACCTTCAAGGTATTGAAGAAACTGCAGGAAGCTTCGTCCGGACCGACCGGACCCGTCCACGACGCTCTTCGGAGTGGAAGAGCACTGGCTGATATCATCGCACTCGATGCCCATGACTCCAATGTCGCAGACTTCTGGCTGCGGCGCTTTGGCCAAGTCACCAGTGAAGACCCAAGAATTTGAGAACTCGCTGGTGCCATGAGCAGCCATCACTACCGACTCGCAAAGTTGGCGCTTCCATGTAACACATTCAGTTATGAAGGCCGTCTGGAACTGCGCCACTGCTTGTCCAAAGCTCTGAAGCATTGCATCTTGGAGGATACACGAAGCCATTGTAGCTGAACCCATGCCAGCGCAAAACTCTCCGATGCGGCGTATCTTTGCAGCATGCTTCCTTTGTAACAGGTTTCGCTCTGCTGCTGTCAGAACACGGCTGAAAAGGTAATCTGCATAATCGCAGAGGCCTGATCCAGTGGCAGGCGCTGCCGACCCCTGGGACTGGGGAAGCTCAGCCTCGGAGTCTGAGTCGGCCTCCACATCGCGAGCCTCCTGCTTCTGACTCTTCCCTGTCCATGCCGAGGCGGCACTGGCCACTCGCTTCGACTCTGGAGACAAGGAAGTTTCGGCTGAGCTTGAGGCACTTCTCGCACGGCGACGGGCCTGCCTGACCGGAGCAGCCTGTGACCCTGCCGCAGTCTTTCTCTTCTGATTCTGCGACCGCAACTTGGCCGAGGCAGGCTTGTTCTTAGCCTTCGGCTGCGACTGCTCTGTGCTTGCATCGGAGCCGGAATCCATAGCTGCACGAGTAAGTAGGCTAAGTTTACCATTGGCCTCATACATTTCATATCCTTGGCGTTCATGTTACAGTCAGTCAGTGTCGGGTCTGAAGCACCGCCTTGCATCGCAGTCTCTTATGAGCTTTACC